TTCTGTCTCTTCACATGAAACATCTACTTCCAGAGGTGAAATCAAAATAGCCGATTTTGGACTGGCTCGTTATTATTCTTCCGATCAAGAGCGATTGTACACAAATCGAGTAATAACGTTATGGTATCGACCTCCTGAGTTATTATTGGGTGACGAACATTATGGCCCATCAATTGATGTTTGGAGTATTGGGTAAGTATGGTAGCGATCGAAGACAGTTTACATGTATATGCTTTCTCTACATAGTTGCGATTGGAATCAAACATACTAGATAATATCTGTGGTGTGCGCTCCCGTGAATTAAGGATCAAATCGCTTCTAAACAAGATTGCCTTTTTGTCTTCAAGAAAAAATGCAGAAAACGGCTTAGGCCTATTACATCTCGCTCTTACATTTGTGCAGCTCCCTTGGATAAAAAAAACTTGTCATGAATACGATCATCTTTGCTTCAATTTACGTGTTTACAGATGCATTCTTGGAGAATTCTTTACGAGGAAGCCGCTTTTCCAGGGAAATAATGAATCGATGCAATTAGAGCTCATATCCAAGGTACAGGACTTTCTTCATGTCAGGCATACTCAGGTGATTATATATTCCAGGTCTGTGGCACACCGAGCCCCGCAAACTGGCCAGATGTAGAAAAAATGCCTCTTTATGGTACTTTGCGGAGTAAACGTCAATATGTTCGATGTCTGCGCGAAGAGTTCTCCCAGTGAGTGCAGTCACTTCTGTGTTACTGATTTTGTGCACGTGAACTGGATTTCGCAAAATTGTATATCGAGGCTTACTCCTAGTTTCGCACTGTTCGTTTATACATTTTCCCTTCAGAATAATGCCGTCTGGAGCTATTGATCTTATGGATAAAATGCTTTTACTCGATCCAAAGCGCCGAATCTCAGCTAAAGATGCTATCAGCCATTACTGGATCAAAAATTTCGATTATACCACAGTTCCACCGTTAAGACTACCGCAACATCAGGTATCTACCACTTTGTCTCAAAAGTAGTGCTTTTCCAAGTGTATCAGTATAGGATTGCCATGAATTGTGGAGCAAGAAGCAGCGAAAAGAGCGCCGTTCAAACAATCCCAATCCAAAAGTTGCTCAGTCCTCTGAAGGACAAGAGTACGAAACAGCCAGTCATTCGGCTGGAACTAGCAGTCAGATGCAATATGACAGACGCCGAGTCTCTCCATCGAATGGATTCGTGCACCAAGCTAACCCTTCGAGACCAGAAGGTTAGTCTACAATATTTTTATGCGGTACTAGTATTGTGCAAGTTTGTGTTTCATTCTAGCCATCGAACAGTCTATCAACGCTGCTCTGCATGGTTCGGATCCGTCACAGTTGCTGAGATTGTTACAGTATACCAATCCAGCAGAAGACACGCGTATTTATAGCAGATTAG